GATGATGATGATGATGATGATGATGATGATGATGATGATGATGATGACGGTGGCGGTGCTGGTCAGGGTGGTGGTTGGTGGTGGTGACGGTGGTGACGTGGAGATGGTCATGGTGGAGATGGCGGTGATGGTGGCAACGGTGGTGATGTGGAGGGGTAGTGGTGGTGATGGTGATGGGGGTGGTTTGTCTAGAGAGCGCAGGACACATATGAATCATAATGAAAGCGCGTGTAAAAGCACGCGCAGACATGAGAGCACACATATGGGAGCACTTACAATAGCATCGGCGCTTCAAGGTTCACAAAGTTGCGCCCCTGCCCCGACACCTGCACTTCAAGGTCCAGAAAAGCGCTGCGCCTGCCATGAAATCTTCGCCTCAAGGTTCACAAAGCGCACAAAGTGCCACAAAATCTTCACTTCAAGGTTCACAAAGTGCTGCTCCTGCCACGAAATCTGCGCTTCAAGGTCCTTACGCCTGGTATGTGAATGGGCATGCCCAAACCTTTGCAGATGCTGTGGAGGATAAATGTGCGACGCCCGCTTGGCCTGTCTTTGTCGAAAACCAACGTGACAAGCGCCTACATAGCTCCGATTCAATCTGTTTGAGTATTTCGTTGCTCGAGGCAAAGAGCGGCAAAGTGCAAGAAGAAGAAGAAGAAGAAAGCGCACGCCATTGGATGTTGACACCTCATAGAGGAATCGGTGTCACGGCTTCAGTTTTACGGTTCAATCAGGGGCCAGACACTTACTGTGTTCGCGAGCCCTTCTGTTATATAAGATCAAACTCAACTGGACACATCCCACAACTTTGGGGGAACCAAGAGGGTGTTTCGACATGTTTCTGCGGAGGAGAAAAGCGAAAACAAGAACCAAACATGCTTAACATAACATGTTGCCAAGCCCTTTATTTGTGTGTTTTACGATGTTCCTTCCATTTGTTTCGTGGGGAATCTCTTGACTTCTATGTTTCGAGATTCGAGCAGCCAACCCGTCCTCACTTTAGGAGCCGATATCTCTACCAGCCAATACTCTCGACTGGAGGAAAGCAGGATGATGGAGGCGGTTCGGACGATGAGGGTGGGAAAGTGCGGAAGTACAAGCGCTATTTGCTGTCAGACAGCAAGAGCTTCGACGCGCTCTTCTTTCCCGAGAAGCCACAATTGTTGAAGCTGGTGGATGATTTCATGCAGACTCGGGGGAAGTTTGCGAGCCTGTTGCTGCATGAGGAACTGAGCACTGACTGTGGATCAAAACGAGCAACCCCCACAATTACCCTTGCAAGGTTGGCCTTGTAGTCCACGTTCATTTTCTGGGTTCAACCCAAGGTCCCAGGATTTGGGTATGTTTTGACCCACAGCCACAGGAACTGTTCCTAAAGATTTCCTCTTGAGGTTGAGACTGTGCGGGCACGTGGTATTTTCATTTTTCCGGGTCGTTGCTTGGGAGGTCTCCCTACTTAAAAACACATCCACATATATTTTATATAGATATATACCACTTGCTTGAGTGTTTGAACTCCAACGCCCACATCGCATCGCCATGTTTTCCACTGATGCCCAGGAATTCTACCGTGACCTTTGTTCGACGAACTCAACGAAACGTGCTCGAAGTCGACCAAACCCCTACGATCTGAAGTCGCGAAGACGTGCTCGAAGTCGCAGCATCGATCCTGAGGATTCCGGGTTTCCCCAACAAGCTGGGCATCCTACTAGACGGTCCTCCAGGCACTGGCAAGACTAGCTTGATCAAGGCGCCTGCTTGGGCACCGGTCTGAGGGAAAGAGTGGCTGCGGCGGTGGCCTGGGCGGTTTTGGGCACCATACAAGACCAGTGATTTCACAGGATTCCCACCAGATCCCATCGGTTGGGTTCCTTTCGTTGTTTCATGTAGTTTCAAAAGGACAACGGTGCGAGGCAGCTCGCAATTTTTCCGGGGGCCGCGGCGTCCGAGGCTTGGCCGTGAGCTTGTTGGGCTGGAAGGCGAAGGAAATCCCGATTGAACAGGGTTTGTACCCGTGGATGTCATTGAAGTTTGGAAGTAAACAGACCCACCAACAGACAGCTGCTAGAAAGGAAGGCAATGATTTTGCGGCACAAAAAGAGGTTTCTGATGGTTTCTGCATATACTGGCAAAGAAGCAGAGAGAGGGAGAGAGAGTATGGATTTCATGGGTCTTTGTGTCTTGCCTTGAGGACTCCCTAAGTATGTTCCGGGGCACACTCCAAGTCAGAGCATGATCCCTGGAAACCCAAGGAATGTCCTGAGGCAGGTGGTTGAATACCACCTGCGTCTCTCTGACGCAAGTCGCGTCTGCTCTCTGCTCGCCTTAATCACCTCACTCAGGACGCAGGGGCGGAGGATGGGGCAATGGGGCGGAGGATGTTGCAGCATTCATGCTATCTAAATATTAAAGGGAATATATATATATATTGTTTATTCCTATACCAGCACCACCCAAAGGGTGCTTATTGACTAAACATCACATGATCAGTGGGTCTATCAACCACCAGTTCCTGGGTGGTGCGGGTATCATATGTGTTGTACATAATTCTTTTGCCACAAAGGGTTAAGGGTCCGGATGACGGGGATTCCATTCGCAGCTCATGATCTTCGTCGGATTGACCAGGCCTTGGCAATCTATTTGAAGCGGCGCATCGTTTCAGTCTCCTTGGAGAAAGTGAAGACCAACCAGGACCCGTCGTCTTGTTCTGGGCTCGAAGACGAGGGTTCTTTTGCCAAAGCTCGCTCGCGGAGGACGTGAACGGAGGATGTGCTGGGTGATTGGGACATGTTGCTCCCAAGCTTTTGAATTACTTTGGATTGAACTGAGGTGCGCAACGATTTCCATGAAAAAAACAACCCGGTCCAGTGTTTCTTCCAAGGAGACCAGTGGTGGCCAGTGGCGGCCTGTGGCTGCTGGCCACGAAAACGGTCTCGGTCGGTGGTCTTTCATGGGAGCTTTTGGACTGAAGATGATTGAATGGAATACAATGTTTGAATTTACCCCAATGATTGAAATGAATAACCCTAATGATTGAATGTTTGCATTCCCTTTCCAGGAGCTTATGGACACATGATGTTTGACTTGTCCTATTCCGTGACTTGAAACCTGACGTGGACGTTCCGACGGGCTGCAAGACCGACATAAGCGTTGTTGACATAAGCGTCAACCGTGTTCAAAGGGAGCGAAGACAAAGACCAAACATGTTTTGTTTCACACGCTTGGAGACAGAGATCAATTCATATATTATATATACACACAAAGTGCACTCAGTGTGGGGTGTGTTTTCTTTTCGACACAACATCACCGTTTTTCTCCATCCTAGGTTCCATTATCTCCGCCCAGGTGAAGGGAGAGGATGAGCCCTTCAAAATGGAGTTCAAAGAGGCGACCTGCGTCGGTCGAATGGGCAACAATTGCATTCCCGCGAAGTCCAAAAAAGTAACATAGAAAACACAGCAATGCGCAAAGAGGTGCAAGGACTTTCTTGAGGTTCACCTAGATACGATTCCCTTGCTGTTTGAGCCTCCTTTTGGAGTACACACATGTACAAACGCTCAAATAGATGTTTTGTTCCTATCAGAGAGGTATGAAGTGTCTAGGGATTGCTTAATCACAAGAACTTCATTGCATTGTTCTTTGCATTTTTGTTCTGTTTCTCGGAGCCAGAGGTCCTCTAACCAATCAAGGAAGACGACAACTGCTTTGAATAGACATCAATCATAATCAATCCAGTTGTTGGTGGGCTGATGTTGTGTTAAGTGCTTTGACATGTCCAAAAGAGTATGTAGTGATGTTGAGCACTGTCGCACAGCTGTGGGATTCTCGAAGCTTTCGTCAGGTCAGTGACCTGAAAGGAGACGTGTTTGCAGGTGATCTTCGTGATGGAAGATGTAGATTGTGCCTCCAAAGTGGTCTACGCTCGCAAGGGCGCTTCTGCACAGATGGCCGCGCAAGCCGGTTCCATGCTGACCACGACAACGACGGCAGCCACACCAGAGGTATCGGCCGAGGCAGCGCCTGGTGAAGCGGAGAAGAAAGAAATGAAGAAGGAGAGCGAAATGTCGCGGTTTTGAGGCAAGAAAAGACTGGATATGGTATATTGGATGATATGGTATGATGTATGTATATGTTTTGACGTAGTTCCAGTGTGATATGGCACCATGGTCATGATGCATGATATACCATTCGATTTGAAGAGAAAAGAAACTGAAACTATAGGACTCAATAGGACTCATGTAGGACATCTCTGAATCTCCCAGAGATCAAACCAATTCCGGGTCGGTCATCGCCGTCGAACCAGCGCCCAAAAGCGCCGAACTCACGGAACTCGCAGAACTGACGTGGCTTGGGCAACGAACGCCGCACGCGGCTCTGCTCCAGGAGATCAAGGAGCTGAAGGAGGAGAAGGTGGGTCCGTGCGTTCGGGGCGGTGCTTGGGTGACCACGAAGGCCGGGTCCAATCCGATTGACCCAGAAATCGAGCTTGGGCTTTGGACCGGATCCGGTGAAAGGAACCGCTCCATGTGTTGGTTCAAGTTGGTTGGGCTCAGGATGGCTCAGGGACGGAGGGGGTGCGGACCCAAACTCATGTACAACACCTTCCCGTTCCCGGAGTCTGAATGGGTGATGGCGGCGTGCCCCATCGTGGGAAGCGGTGATGAGAAGTAGTCCAGTGAGTCGAGTGGGGAGTTGGTGCTGAGGGATGGGATCAAGAGGTGATGGCCAGAAATTAGATGAGCAGCAGCTGGCCAGAACGAGTCTTCACCAAAAAACCGGCCGATCGCACCAGACTTGCGCACTGCGCACTGCGTGCCAAAGATGTCACTTTGAGGGTACTCTTGTTCTTGGGTGTGTGCATCGTTTGATCCAGTAACCGTGGACAGCCTATCGTCATGTCACCCGATGAATCCAAACTAGCGCAAAGACTGTACATATACTAGTACCGGCAAACCGGTAAATGGCACCACCTCTGAAAGCCACGGCTCGGACGATTCAATTGTCAGACCACTTCTCAGGTCACACCCCGTAATTCAACCCAACCTGGCTTTGTTAAAAACAATGCCGTTTGTTCAATCATTCGACATATATCCCAGCCCATGTCACGTAATGTCACGCCGAGTTTGTCGTATTTACATATTCACGCAGGTTCATGCAAATGTCATGCGCATGGATGTTCAACTGGGCACGGACGATGGGTGCACCAGTCTGTTCCAATGCACGCATCCCAGCGGACGATGTTCCATTTAATGTTGACACAGGATTAAGTAACCACCCCCTATCAATCAATCCCAGCTCGACCCCCCCAATACTAAACGAACTTAAAACCTAGATTTCCACCTTGGCATCACCCTCATAAGTGTTTTCTCTACCAGAAACCTTCCCCCCATTAATCAATCCCAGCTCCCCCAGAAAAGTATAATTGGTTTAACATTATATGTAGTTTTACTTTCTTTTTGGCTAGTATCCAAAATCCTTTGGTCCCTAAAGACCTCTCTAGCAAAACTCGTTCATTTTCCCTTATTAAAACTCTATCAAATCTTAACGGTTTCTAGCTCACAAAGGGTACCCCTCTCACAGGCCTCAGTGTTCACACAGAATCATATCAACCATCATCCATCATCAGGTTATCACCTTTATTAGGGGGATGTGGTCCTCAGATACCTCCAATCTCAGACCTTGTTGACCTTGTTGACCTTGAAGGGGGGTCCCCGTTTATTAATCCGGTGTCGAGATTATATACATTCTTTAATCTTTAGCACCAAGTATGAGAATAGCACCATGTCTCACCAAACACGTAAATACTGCATGATTGGCCGAGTATGTGAATAGAACACGATGTCATTTTATATGTCATGTAAGGTTTCGAATTCCACAAAAATGGCGCGGTATTCTTTTCAACACTGATTTGGTTGTGTCGGTGGTGCATATTGGTACAGGATCTCATCAACCATCACCCTCCACCTCGATCCCAGTCCACTCACCCTTGCACTCCACCTTTGATCAGCAGGCCCTCGGCAACCTCTACCGCGCCCAGTCCGCGCCGCCGAACACGCACGGAGCCGCGGCGCTGCACGTCGACCCGTCGCAGCTGAAGCGCAACGCGCCCTTCGACGTGGCGAAGCTCATGCGCCAAGTCTCCAAGGCCCAGCGGAGCGGACCATGTCCATGTCAAGCGGCGGATGGGTGGAGACCATAGGACCCGGGCGCCCCCCTTCGTTCCAAACCCAGATGTCCCGCCAGAAACGGAATGGATGAGAACCCTCCCTAACAGGGAGCCCCCTGTCAAACGCTGGCGCGGCGCCAGAAACGGAACTGGTGAGAAACCAGGAGTCCGACCTCGCCAGTCCGGTCGCTGTCTCTTCGCACGTGGCAGGTGGCGGAAGACGGCGACCCAGCGAAGGCCAGCAACGAAGAAGAGAGCCACCTGGCGCCAGCGAAGACTGACGGCGCGCCGGCCGGGCAGGGGCAGCCTGGGGGCGTGGTGGCAATAGAGTACAGAGACATCATGGAGACACCCTTTTTTACAGCTCGTGAAACCGGTGGTTCCATGACAGTCTCTAAGTGGTCGCCACAAGAACGAGCCTTGGTTCTGCAGCAAAGGGGCCTGCGATTCAGGCTCTGGAGCATTGAAGTCCTAGGCATGCTCAGACTCTAGGTTCGTGGCTGATTCCCTTCGCCTCGCCTTCGCTGAAGCCCTTGAGCCGGCTGAGGCGACACGGAGAGTGACACCAGCTCGCCTGAAGATCTGCCGGCGGATCTGCCTGCGGCGGTGGTCACCGTTGAGACAGAGAGCGCGAGCAAGAAGAAGTCGCTGGATGTGGAGCTTGATAAGCTGAACCTTTCAGGTGAGGGGTATAAGGAACATATTGAACATAGCTGGAGTTAGTCATACAAAAACAGTACTCAATCAGGTGTTCAGTCAGACTGGACCTCTAGGTGTGAAAAAAATTGTTGGAGATGCAGACGGAAGGTAGTCCAGCCAGATGGTTCACTCAACCGCAAACAAACATACAGAACTTTGATCCAGCGAGCGAGGGTCTGGTCTTTGTATTCCAATCCACACCCACAGGGACGCACGGGTGAAGATATTTATTAAAGATTCCACGCGGGGTTCACAAACTCCTGACAGCTGAAAGTTCCCGCTGTCAGGGCTTCTCAACATCTTGGACGGCGTGGTGGACACGCCAGGCGTGGCTGTGTCAAGCTGCTTCAGAAAGCAGCTTTGCAAAGATGTTGAACGATGTTTCCTCACTGCTTTCTCTATCAATCGCTCACAATGGTGAACGAGACCCTCTGAAGTAGCTATACATCCACTTCCAGAGTGACATGCAAAAGGAGGACATAGATCACATGGTTGAACTTCCCCATGTTCCCCAAATTTCCCAAACCAGGACACCTGTTTTCTTCCCCCGCAAACCCGGAAGTGAGCCTCAAAATGATTGATTCGCCCAAGCGACTGAGTGATGGAGCAGCTATTGAGGTATAGATGTCCTGCCAAGCGATTTTGGTGTGCCATGTCCATCTCAATTGCATCTCCATGTCATCTTCCTTCCCCCGAAACTGTAGTCAGACTGGAAGGAAACTCATCACCTTTGGCACAGGCCGCGTGGTGGTGATGACCACGAACCACCCGGAAAAATTGGATCCTGCGCTCATCCGCCGGGGACGCATTAACAAAAAAATCCACCTGGGCTTTGTGGATGCAGACACGCTACTGAAGATGCTTGGCACACACAAACATATCGAGAGCCCAAAGAGAGAGGACGTTGAAACGGAGGTTGGCCAACAGGGTGCGCAGGTTGGTGGACAAGCCTGAGAACCAATGGGTGGAGAAAGGTCTTGCTGGTGGCCTTGCTGAGGCTGGTGATCTTTGGTGACCCCCTAATCATCATGAAACCTTTATCCTCTCTTAGTGCTCAAAAACCATCATACTAAGCCTCGGACCTCTAAAACCAGTACGGACCACTTCTGCAAAAAAGAACCCGGCCACATCTGGCCACTTGAAAAACTTCAACATCTCCTGGTCTTCACCAACACCTCCTGCTTTCAGCCCACTTCTACCTAGTCGTCTCTTCCCTCTTCTCAATCAGGATGGCCAAGCACTACATCTGCCGCGACAGCGAGCTCCCGTCCGGCGCCCAAGAGCTGGCGCAGGAGCTCTGCGGCGCCGGGCGCGGCATCACGCCCGCGTGGGTGGAGCAGTGCAGCGCCGAGTCGGAGGACTTCGACGGCTTCGTGAAGCAACTGAGGGTGGGCGCACCGAGTCGGAGGACGTCCGAGTCGTGTGTGGCGCCAGCCACGTCGGAGAAGTATGAGAAGCCGGTTGGTGGAGTGAGGGTTGTGTGGATTGTGTGTGTGTGGGTCAGTGCGGGTTGTTGGTGGGTCAGTGGGGAGTGCGGAGTGAGTGGTTTTGTTCTTTTTGGGGTGGGAGTTGAGTTGGGTTTGGGGTTGGAAGCAGTTGGGTTTGCAGTGAGGTTAGGATGGTTGCGAGATGTTGCGGGAGACGGATGGTTCTGTGCGGTGGAGTGAGGAGTGATCTTGGAGTTGGATGGGATTGGATGCTTTGGTTCTATATGGTGGAGGAAGTATTTTAGGGCGTTGTTGGAGCGATGTGTTCACCCTGCTGGCCTTTCTTTGAAGTCTGAACAAGCAAATTGCTTGCTTGCTTGGACGGTCAGCAAGTGCCATAGATCAGTTGAGTAATTCTTGATATGTCAACTTGCTAGGCCTGAAGACTGAAGAGGTTTTACAATCCATGGACATGGGGTCCGGAGTCTGGGAGGGCTATGAATCAAAGAGTCTACATAGGGTCTATCACGCAAGCCTCAGACCTCAGGTTGAGACCCTGCAGTCTTCAGTGGGGAGTGGCTTCAGAAATAGGTAGAACTGATTCTGATGGGAGTGGATAGAAAGGACACCAAGTAAGTACATATCAATCTCACAAAGTGGCAAAACCGTGTCAAGACCATTCCGTGTTCAAGTGAGACAGGACTTCTCTCTTCAATAGATTCAATAGCAATAGCGGGTCAACTTTCTCACCTCAACGAATCCAGATCCCCTCGGGCCTCGCTAATCCGATACCTTTTTGGATCCCTACCTCACTCCACCTAACTTGCCCCAGAACTCCCGCAAAGACACGCCCGATTCCACTGACGGCGCAGGTGCTGAAGAACGCCGCGTTGCCGGGCGCCAAGGCGCCGCCAGCGCCGCCGCCCAAGGCGGACGTGGCGTCCACACGTTGGTAGAGCGGGGCCGCGGTCGCGCGGCCGACCGGACAGTGCTGTCAGAAAAATGGAGAAAGAGGTCGGTTGCCGGGGTGATGTGGGGATGTCAAACAGGGTACATGAAGACACCATCTCAGCCATTGGTGACCATTGCGAAGCACCGAGTCGGTGTCCAATTCAGATGCTTTAAGGACGGAGAAGGGCCGTTGCAGCGCCACGCGACCGTGGAATCATGTGGAACTGTCCACGCGAGGTGTTCGTTCGGTGGAGGGGAACTGCAGACCAGTTCGATCAGGGTGACTGTTGGTAAGATTGCTTGGCATGGAATTGCCTGGAACCCAACACCACCCACTACCTACCCACTACCTTTGGTTTGGGCACCCGTCCGTGTCGTCGTGTGAAACCCTGTGACTGGCTCTGACGCTTTCTCTTCTGGCTCAAGTCAGAAGGTCTGCTAATCTGAGAGAAACCGATTCAAAGAGCCAGAGAGTCCGCACGGGCCTTTGAGGCAGCAGCCACTTCAACTTCAATCATTTTCGAATCATCGTGTTGAATAAAGGTACAATATAGGCATAGCTCCTATGACATGATGTTCATTCCAAAACACCAGAGACAACATCCAACGAAGTCTGACTGGTGTCCCCTCTGGCGAATTAGTTCGGGCCGGACGTTGGACATTGCATGCGGCCGTTCAGCCGTTGGGCGCCATGCGAGCACTAGGGCAATGGGCATCAAGAGGCAGGAGCTGCAGAACTGCTGATTTCATGGAAACACACCTTCACATGGGGTGTGCTGGTGTGTCACGTGTGCATCATGTGGGTTTTGCCAGGATGCGTCGTGCTGTTCTTGCTGGCATGAGGTCAGAATTACTCACATGCCGGTTTGGCTTGCGTTGGAGTTGGAGCTGCTGCTGCTGGTGGTGTTGTTTCAGCAAGGAGGTGGAGGTACTGCTGATGGACAAGTTATCCCGTTTGATCTTCAAGTACACATGTTTAATGTTATCGGTGTATCATGTCCATTTATATGGCTATGTCAATGGCCCAACACACAAAAGTTGTGGATTCACCCGATAGGTGCCATGCCAAAATCATATTGAACTTGTTCCATGATCCATCATTTCGGATATGACATATCGCGACTTTCTCGTGAAGAAGAACCATCTCCTACACCACGACCATATGTTTGGGACTATTGACCGATCAGTTGGGATATGTTGTAGGTTACCACTCCATGGGCCATATTTGTCTGGGGTGGTGCCAGGGGGGTCTGGCTGGGGCGGCATATATTCATATGATATTCCATACATGGAGTGTCTTTACCGTGGGTCGGGGCCTTCGCACCCGTGCTTCGCACGGACCGAACGCGGTGCGATGGCAGTGGCAAAGTGCTAGCCAGGTGGCACTGCAGGTGATTGGTAGTATGTGGTAGTGGAGTGCCAGATTAGGGATGATAAGGGTATATAAGGGTCTCTGTTTCAAGGGCATCCATATAGGATCTTATGGCTGTTCCTTATGACATCTACTACTGGGACTACTCGTTGTTCATCCGGCAGTGGAGAACAGGCCAATCAGTCGTGCGTGGTTCATCGGGTTTTACCAATGTCGCATGGCAGGTTTTACCTCTTGCTGCTGATTGGTGCATTGGGCTACGACACCTCCGTTCGAGACTCGCCAGAGAGCTCGTCTAACGCGTGTTAGACGTTAGACGAGCGCCCACGCGCAGACAAGTTGGAGAGTTACAGCAAGAAAATGAGCAGCTTACAGGCTAACGCGCCTAAAGCCGCAATATAAAGATATATAATATATTATGTACATTAAGTAATTAAATATAAATATATATGGCTAGTTGTATTGCTACATTCAATTTTGGTGACGTTCAGAAAATGCCTCGCCTAGACCACAGAAAGATAATTTTGTGACCTCGAACTGAATGTTGACGTTGCAGGTGGCACCTGACATTCGAACATTGTCCACCGTAGCCCTAATGGCTGGGGCTTCGAAGTGGGGGATCAAACCAGGAGCCTTTTCATGAATTCCATCGCTGCAGACGGACCACGACCGTGAACAATGCACCCCCTCAAGAAAGCCGATTCTCATCGACCACCGTCTGTTGGAACCCGGGCGGTCCATGACCTATGCCGTCGTGCCGGCTCTCGCTTCGTTTCGGTGGGACTGGGGCCAGCCAGTCGGGTCCAGTCATACTGAATCTGAGGAGGTACGACTGAAGGTGTGGGGCCCCACACAGGTTCCCAGAGAGACGGTCCCGAGCGCCACCCGCGAGCCGAACTCGAGCGACGTCGAGCGGTCGAGCGACGTTGAGCTTGGCAGCCGACCATCGCGAGCTCAGGCAACTTGAAGTTCACGGACATCGCGTCGTCGGAGTATGACCTGGAGGGCATCGTGGAATGGGTTCCTGGGGCGAAAGGCGAAAGCGAAGGGAGAAGCACACCCAAACTGCACACGGGGATCTTCCCAGGAAGGGGGGTTGGCGGATGGGCTTGGGCGAGATGGCTTGTGTGTGTGTGTGTGCGCTGTGTGTTGTTATGAAGGGTTTCTGGGTGTTCTTTCTTTGTCTCTTTTGGGGGGGTGGTTTAGGGCTGTAAACAGAATGAGAGCTCGCGTTTCTGTTGTTTCTCCTTTCAGGAGCTTTAGGCAGAGATTACAGAGATTGGCTAGGGCTCATTAGGGTACACCCAGATTTGGGGATAGGCTGTAGGTATTTGTAGGTCCTATCCCAATCCACAAGGTTTCACACGTTGCGACGCGCGGATTCCTCATGATCTCTCAGATGGTATCGGGCTCCGGTCGTGTTCAAGTCCGTTTCTCGGCGGCATCTGTGCGGCCGACCCTAAGGATCCCCCCATCGACGTCTCACAAGTCTTGGACTACGGCGTGTGGATGGTGCCTGGCCAGGCGTGTGGATGGTACCCTGTCCAGTTGGAGCATATACAAGCTCGAAACGTCACTCTATATACCTGGAAAGGCGTATATGAACACTGTTTTTTGTGCGAAGGCCGAATTTGAACAGCATTTATCGTATGGACATTTTAATTAACGAATTAGCGTATTTAGCCGTATGGACAAAAAACAGTACCGTACAAAAGCGTGCATATGAAACCCAAGCTTTATCAACATGTTATCGACAAAAACCCAAACAAATATACTGATAAAACCCAATCAAACCCATGCAATATTCGGAGGAATTCCACAAAATGTGTCCATTTGACAAAAAAGGCCGGATGCACGGATTTTTTGTGCGAACGTGTTTGAACAAAAAAAATGCACATTTGGACTCCCTGGTAGTGTATGTAAAAGCAATACAGGTCTGCGAGTCAAAATAGATCAAATATGATACCATTATTGTGCACTGGTTGACGTAGAAGATGGTAGAACAGATTCCTCCTACATATGACTTTAGTATGACTTCTGGGTGCAGCGGTGCCATGCGGAAGAAGGGTTGGGGTATGACTTAGGCATGACTTAGGCTTTCCCCTGTATGTCAACCAAGGAAACACATGACCGATGTCGACCTCCGAGCTTCGTCGGATGTCTTTCCGCCAGGCGTGGTGGAAGGGCGTCAAACTCGGCTACAACGGCACCGAGGCGCAAAACTCGGCGAGCGGGCGGGTTCGGACGCCCGGGAGAGAATGGGGAGGATCTGGACCCCTGCGTCACTCGGTAAGGTCCTCGATTTGGGTGAAGGGGGGAGTACGCACCAAGACTGAAGAGCTAACACTCAACGCAAAGGATCGACCAGAAAGGGCATGCTGAATCCTGGTACAAACATGATCAAAACTAATAGGCTTCACTCCCTTCAAGAGTTGTGATTTGCGGTGCGCTTGAAACTACCGCCAAACCCGGAGGCAACTTGCCAAGGGTCCTCTCACACATGCGTGGTTTGGGGGCGGATTGTTTGGAGCCTGACATAAAGAAAAAGGTCAGTTCAATCTCCCAAAGCCTCTGCCCCTGTCGACTCGAGGCCAAACGCTGGCCTAGCTTCCTATAGAACCTGATTCTGATGCTCAAAGTGGCTTGCATAATTTGGCTACATCAGAATCACGGCAACCGATCCCCACAGTGACCGCCAACGGACGCGAAGTCGCCCTGGAAACAGGATGCCGCTGTCCCCATCGGCACCAATGAGATGCTGATCTCGCCCAACATCTCGCGTGCCCTCGGACAGTTCAAACGAGAGGATGAGACGCATGGGCGAGACAACGAGCATGGGTGTCGCTTGTGATTGATTGATGTGGACATTGGGTGGAGATCGGTCGGTATCGGTCGGTCTACGGAGGTTGACAGTTTACTGCAAAATACGGCTCGTTGGACATGCCGACTCGTGTCGACTCGCGCGGTTCTGGCGGTTCTCGTGCTTTCGATGAGGAATTGTTCGACGGAGCATCAGCATCGCATCAAAACCGTTGCTCTTCAGGTGACTTGGGGAACGGAAACTACGGAGAGTGGCTAATGGTTCTCTCTCACCGTGCTGTTGCTTGGTATGAGAAAAGTGGGAAGCCGAACAAGTCGTGAACATTTTCATGATGGAGTACATGACTGAGAACGAAAGGGCTGAAGCTTTGAGTAGCTGGGTCACTGTTGATTTAAAGAGATGAAAGGCAATTGAAATATTGATTCCTTCTATAGAAGGCGAAGCTTTTAGAAGGGCTTGGTTTGTACCGAGTCTTCTCAGATGGTGCCAAAGGTTCGGTTCTGCCGCACCTGGACAGCTTCGACCTGCCTCCGCCGGATGTCCCCAGGGGTCAAAACGTCAGACGGTTCGTCCAAGTGGAGACCCACATGGAATGCTGCAAAACCACTGGGGGTTGGTAGAAGACCACCATCTCACCCTGCTAGACTTCCATGATGTCCATGCCACAACCAAGACTTCCGGTCTCAGCTTCTCCCGGTGTGGTTTCACATCGCACCATTCTTCGAGGATGAACAAATCTGGGAGATGTTTGCGAAGGCGGCCTTCGTGTCACGGCGGCAGGGCGTTGACGGCAGCGGCGTTTTAAGGAGCGC